GACGGTGCTTCGCTCGACCTTTGGGACTTCCTTACTGGTTGTCCCTGTGGTGATTCCTCCTCCGAGCGGGTCCTTTTGATGGAGCGCTCGGGTTCGGGTTTCGAAGCATCGAATCGATAGCCCATAGCCCTAAGTTCCGCAAAGGTTTTAGCGGACAGTTCGTAGGCTTTTGCAGCCTCCACTCCCTGTCCCCTAAGAGCCTTAAGTCGGATTAAGGCTGCCCCGCTCAATCTTTTACGTTTGGGTCGGGCAGCATCAGAGGAGGTGGCAGCAGGGTTACCAGTAGGTGATTCAGGGCTTGTAGAAGCCCCTATCGCCATTTTGGTGCCTGCAGTCACCTCCATTGGGTGCGCTGACATTTGGGCGGTTTCATCCGCACCCATTGTCAGCGGCATGAGGTCCTGGCACAATTCGTCCAGGGTTTGTGACGTGGTAACGTCATTTCTATTTTGTTTTGTATTGTTTTGGTCCTTACTCATATAGGTCCCACGAGCAGCTAGGGAAATAAAAATGCCCACCGACAGAGCCCCGCATGTCGATGGGAGGACTTAAAATACTATCCGATTCGTCCAGGTGTCGGATAGCCACCGTTAGCGACTGAGCTCCCCCCCAGCCACGCATCCCTCGGCACGGTACGAATAACACCTTGGATTGGGTTCTAAGCCAAAGCTATACATATATATACATATATATTACATAGACACACTTACATAAACATACATAAACATACATATATAAATAAAAGTGAAAGCAAGCGCTCGGTGTTTTCTGTTGCGTCTATTTCCTAGTGAACTAGACCAATAACAGGGCTGGCAACCTCGTGAAGGATAGTACACCGAACTTGCCTTGGGGATCTTTGCGACAAAAGCGTCACTCTCCCCCAAGACCAACGCCACCCCACCGTCTCTGAAGGAGACAGTAGGGTAGGCCTGCGCCTACACTACCATGCGAAGCATGTCGTAAGGGAACCGTGAAAGCATAGATTCAGGCCCGCCCCGAGTTTTATTTAAGTAAATACAGATAAATTTTACATAACCAAAATCAACTAATGAAATACTAACCTAAAACAGAGAATCGACAATTAAATGTTCATGCTTTACTATTCTTATTATTAAAACTTAAATCGTCTTTTGCACTTTTAAATTAAATCAAATTCACAAACATAACTTAGTTCTAATGTAATTATTAAACAACATTTGTAATTTAACTATACGTTATTATTCGATTGGAAAAAGAAACCTGACACTCTCTAATGTCAATGTCAGTGTCAACACAAAGCTTACATATATATCGACGGTTGAAAGGCTAATTGATCTAAGCGACTTTTTGTAAAACTTGCAGGAATAAGGATCAAAGTTTTTTTTTTTTTTTTGGAAAAAAAATCATAAAAAATCAACTATTTGGTAGACTTTTATTTATTTAATACACTGTATCCCTATTTAATAAGGCAGTTTTTTAAGTTATAACTGTTGAAAATTGTGTATTATTTTAGAACATTTATGTTGGTTAGTCCAAAATGCATCAAATTTAGTTATTTTTTGAGAAAAGCATAATGGTTCAAATGCTTATCGTAAATTAAATAGCTGAAAGTAACCTGGCTCAAGCATCGACTTCCCCCCCAACGTGCGTTCACCTTGTCGTGGTGGGGGGGCTCAGTAGTGCCCGGCAACCCAACCGGGCGCGAAGCCAAGAAACGCACAGGGAGGTGGCCCACTTCGGTGGGCGGTGGGAGGTGGCCCTCTTCGGAGGGCAGTGTACCATGAGGGTTGCTCCTGGTACTTCTCTGATAGCAGAGTGGACTGTGGAGCAACCCCGTGGTTCTTGTGGTCTGCTTCGGCAGACCTGCCGTCGGGGCGTCGTAGTTGAATGCGTAAGCGATCCTGCGACGCCCCATTAAGACGGGGGAAGGTCTTGTTGGGTTTTAGTGGGTAGTACTGGCTTCGCTGGTGAGTCCCACACTTCGTGCGTAAATGCATTTCCCAACGTTAAAAAAAAACAAAAAAAAGCATCGACTTAGAATAAAATAATACGAGAGAAAATGAATTTAGCGCCAAGTCAACTTATAGTTGAATATGCCCATGAGCCTTAACAACATAATGGTGTTGCACCAGAATGAAGTTATTTGATGCAGATACCCATTAGAGGGATGAAACAAAATGATCCCTTAATAGATTATAGTAGATATTGCTGCTTAGGCCATCATTGTTCAGCAACGACGTCCATAAGATATTTTTCTAGGGTTGGTATGCCCCCCCCCAACGTGCGTTCACCTTGTCGTGGTGGGGGGGCTCAGTAGTAGTAGCGAAGCTAAGAAACGCACAGGGAGGTTGCCCACTTCGGTGGGCGGTGGGAGGTGGCCCTCTTCGGGGGGCGGTGTACCTTGCGGGTTGCTCCTGGTACTTCTCTGATAGCAGAGTGGACCTTGGAGCAGCCCCATGGTTGTGGTGGTCTGCTTTGGCAGACCTGCCGTCGGGGCGTCGTAGTTGAATGCGTAAGCGATCCTGCGACGCCCCATTATGACGGTGGAAGGTTTTGTTGGGTTTTAGTGGGTAGTACTGGCTGTATTACGCCGGTGAGTCCCACACGTCGTGCGTAAATGCATTTCCCAACGTTAAAAAAAAAAAAAAAAAAAAAAAAAAAAAAAAAAAAAAAAAAAAGGGTTGGTATGCCACTTTATACAATTTAAAATTTTAGACAGTGTCTTGTAAATTTTTTTATATTATAAAAAATCGTTTTGGTGTATAGGAATTATTGGAACTGGCTTGGAACAAGGTATAAGATAAGGTGGTGTATCACCCTAAGCCTAGGTAGTAATTACACCACAAAATATAAAATTATTGTACTTTAGTATTATTTTATAAATAAAACAACAAATGTTATTAATTATAATTTATTCAATATCAGTCTTCAATATGGACGTACCTAATTTAAGTAACAATCAAACATTAATATTACAAAAAAAAACTTTTCAGTTGCTTATAATAAATCAGAAGTTAAAAAAAATAATAACCTCGTCTAAAAACAACCAAAAATTGACATTCTTTATCAAAAACAATAGAAACTCGGCATTTTTTATATGAAAAAAACAATAGATCATCAAAAAGTAAAAGAAAGAAAATGTATCATTCTTTATACGATGACGAAGAACCTTAAGGTTCTATCTCATCTTCAATATCTGTATCTATCAGAACATCTTTACCAACGCGGTGCAAAAAGTTTGTGTATTCTAGGTGAAAATTTTTGGGTATAACCCCTGTATCACACAGCTTTTTAAGATCTTTGTATTTTGCCGTAGTTATAGGCAAACATGTTTTATACTTCGGGTGCACTACCTTTGGTCTTGTAATTATGGCTATAGAATCGGTCTCAGCATCTTTAGCCATGCTGTATTTGACAGTCATTACATTGGGTGACGACTTTTTAAATGTCGCTACCCGAACCTTACTAATCTTTCCGGTTAAATTGCCTTTGAAATACTTTTCTGAAAATTCTTCGTAATTCATAAAATCGTTGTGCGTAAGAGTTTCTACGTAATATGGTTCGGGATCTTTACGAGCCAACTGAAAAACAGTTGGCCATTGCGACGGTGCCCAAATTATAGTATTTCTAATAGAATTTTCGATTGTGGCATGGATGCTATCGACAGTCATTTCCGTGTGCCCTGGAAGAAGATAATTCATTTGTATGGTTTCAATGTGTTTTGCTTCAAGCAATGCGCGATGTATAGCGGCTAAAACTATTCTGTTTTTATTCTGCCCTGGGCATGAGTCGGAATATAGAATTAAATGAGTGACTGAACCACGTGAATCGACTTCAGTAATATACTTTTGTAAGATTGTAGCTATTTCATTTCCTCCTCTTTTTCCTTCGGTTTCTCCCCACGTATAACAAAAGCCATTTCTGGTACCACTTTCGTAAAAACAAAGGTTGTATACGGTATATTTTCTAGAATAAAAAAGCAGCATACTCTTCCCATGTGGGGTGTTCAGTACCTTTTGTAGATCAAAAGAAGTACAAATCATTGTGATATTCTTGTTGGCAAGTAAGAACGCAAACAAATTATAATTAAGTTGGCAACATCCATGACCTGTCAATGTAAACTGTATATAAATCGCGTCATGTAAGCATAAAACCTCTTTTTCATCATTTGTGCCGTGCTCAGTTTGTAACTATACTCTTTGGTCGTGCTACTGTTAATAATATATGACAATATATATTTGTTATATTCAATCAGTCATTTTTATTTATTTCCACATAAAATATAAACAATTCTTCTTGCTTAGTTCACGGTGAAAAGCTAATCTATCTTTTGATGCCTTTTTTTCTTTTAAATGGCTTAACATTTCAGGATTTTCTTTTTCATTCTGGCCTTCAAAACTTAAACATTTGACACATTTATCCTTCTTTGGAACGTGAAAACCAATATTGAAATTGTTGTTGAAAATATCACGAAATATTTTTTCACCAACAACATCTATACCCTCTGATGTTTTTAACTGTTTATAAATCCTATAAAGGTTTTTTATGTTTTTAAATTCAGTAGGGAGATATAATTTGGTACTATCTTTGCGACAGTAATGCGATGGCAGCGCAGGTAAACTTTTTATAAAATGAATGGCAGACTCCTTTACTGCGTGAGGCGTTTTATTTTTAGGAGCAGTTTTACCTCTGCTCTCCTCTTTTGACAATCCAGACGAGGCATTGGCTAAAGTATAACTAACATATTTTGAGCTAACACCCAAAGTGTCTACTAGAATTTTTTTACAAACCTTACGTCGGCCTTCACCATCATTAATATAGTAGAAATATGTATTGTGCCTCACACCAGAGTCCTTCGACCTCTTTCGTTTTATGTCAGTTCTTACAGTCATTCCTACTAGCCAATCTTTTTTCTTTGGGATGGTAGTCCCCAAAAATAATCAAAGATATTTTTTCTTTTTTCTTCGGAAACATTGTTACAGTCGTTGCCACAGTTTTTTCCTAGGCATGGATTAGGCTTAAGTGATCTTGCACTTACAATGCTTCCGTCTTTTTTCACATACTCTTTTCCTTTTTCTCGCAAGTTTTTTTGCTTCTTTGCGTTTATTCTTTTTTTTCTTCTTCAATCCTGCTTCTCCCACTTTACCGTCTTCCGCTCTTACTTTTCTTTTCTTTTTTTGAGGTTCATTGCTTTCGTCTGATGAAGATTCATCCCCAGTTTCATTCCAAGAAGAGGAATCCCATACGAAGTCCTCTTCTTCAGAGAGATAATCGACATAATTTTTATTAATTTTGCTTCTTTTGTTCCTTTTTTTAGATTTATTGTTCTCTACTTCTATGTCATCTTCATCTGGTTCGAGAGACTTCCTCAGCAACTCCATCTCACCCTCAGGAATTACTTCCGTTAATGTAGAAAGAAGTTCAGATTCATTTTCTTTGTAATTTTTTTCATTTATAGATATCAGTTTATCATCATCATCGTTTTCTTTTTGTGGAAATGTATCACTGGAGTTTTCCTTATTCCACACTTCTTCAGTGTTCTCAGTCTAAAATAAAAAAAAAATAAGTAATGCTATTTCCACGCGCCTTATTTCGTGGGTTAAAGCCAGTATTACAATTAATTAGATAGAGCTCGCATCATGTAAAAAGAACGCTAGCTGTCAAGCTGCGCAGAGACGATTTATCGGTCAATTTGGTGGTATGAGGGGCGGCGGGGGGAGGGCACGCGCCGCACGCTTGCCGGCTAGCTATTGGTTCGTCAGTTCAAACCCATCGCGCGCACAAACTTATTAATTACGAAATTATTTTACATAGAAAAGAGAGAAAAAATATTTTTGATTTATATTGTTTTATAAAGAGAGAGACTGAATAAAATGCACTTAACAATTAGAAAAACGTATTAAACGAATTAATTTATTTTTTTGTAAGTAGATTAAACATTCTTCACTGAATCAAACATATTTTATTAATACATAGAATTATATTTATTTATATTCTATCTGATATATTTTTCAATGTACCTACGAATAACCAATATACGTCGCTAGTGCAAGGCTAGTTCAAAAATAGAAGAATAGGCCTAGTACGTTCTTGCACGAATATACCCATGCGCAAACACACCCCTCACCACTTTCCAGCGTTTTTTTTACGTGACGCGAATTATACATACCGACTCAAATTCAATATCTATTCGTATATCTTCTATATTTTTTGTATAACTCTTTTCTTTGGCTAGATCTTTGTTAGTAATATCTTCTAATAGAGCTTTGGTACTGTCATCATCATTCTAAAAGAATAACTTAAATCAACGAGAACTCATGTTATAATAATAAAAGTCTTATAAGTATAAAGTATTATTTACCTGTGACTCTTTTTCCACATTGCTGTTATCTGGGTTTGAAGGAATCGTATTCACAAATGCAAATTTTTGGTTTTGGTCATAGTAGGATTGACTTCCTAATAGTGTAACAACACAATCTTCATCAGCTTCATTATTGTTACTGAATTCATTTTCTGCACTTGTAGGTACTTCAGTCTTCTGTTGAGAAAATTGTTTCACTATCTGTTTCTTAAAATACAGCCGGCGTTGTGATTCCATAGTTGCTGAAATGAAATCAAAACCAATTTAAAAACATTGTATATTTATACTAGCTTTTTCCCGCAGCTTCGCCCGCGTGAAATTTGGTTTTTCACAGATCCCGAGGGAAACGTGAATTTCCGGTTCCCGCACCCTATTACGGTACGTTTGCTACAGCAATGTAAATGTGTTAATCCACGTTATACGCTATCAATTTTCCTAATTTCAACCAAATCGGTTCAGTAGTTACGGCGGGAAAGAGTAATAAGCATCCAAATACAAATGTTCACATTTATAATATTAATAGGATAGTAGGAAGTAATTCTAAAGTACGATGTACTAGTACAGCAAAGTAGGTACTTTAACTATTCAATATTTTCACATTTTCTAATTAAAAGTACCTAGGTAGATAAATAATATTTTTTTCACTCATCTAGATACATAATACATACCTACAATAAGAATATGTATTAATATTACACAGTTACCGACAAAAACTATTTCGTGAAAAAGTCACGACACGAACCTAGCTTAATTTAATATAGGTATACACGGACTTTTAATTCGATTTAGTAAAAGTCGTAGTATAGAACGTACCTATTTTAAATCAATACAATATCTTCCTTATATGTTATATCCTTAGCGTAATTACAAATCTTTTAATTGATTATCACTTGGATAAAACAATATTATAATTTTTACTTACCAGAAAAATAAACCGTCTATCTTCACAGCTGGCTCGCACACGACGCACTTCCATTGGTGTTGACGGCTAACTGACGCCGAACGCGCCCGCGCGGGTGGGTGAGGTACTCCGTACTCGTAAAGAGCGCGCAATAAATTGAACTTAGTTCCAAGGGACTAAGGAATAGCTACCCTTATTAATTTATTGGACGGTCTATGTGTTAAAACCGATTTGATAAAATGATGGAAATGCCAATTTACAAATACTGAATTTAATCAAAATGTTTCATCCACCATAACACTAATGAGAAAGTTAGGTCATAAAAACCGAAGTAATATTACTCATTATTCTTAATAGAGGCTAAATGGATCTAGAGACATAGTTAATTAATATAACTCAATGCAAAATGGTTTAAGCACCACGTTTTTTTAATGTATTTGAATGCAAAATGGGCCAAACGACATACCTTATTGTTTTGCTTTAATTCAAAATAGGCCAAACGACAAAACCATAACCATAGCGAAAAAGCCAAATGCCTTAATCGACACACGTTATAAAAATTTGAAAGATCAAAACAGCTTAAGTCAACGAGTCCTCAAATTTGTCTAATTTTGTGTCGTATAGATCGATGAGCTAAGAAATGAGGACGGTTTTGCTGTGGGTGCTAAGCGCCGAAAAAGTAGTAAAAAAAATTGAAACATGACTTAAACGACGGAGAAAAATTGGCTGATTCCGAATATGTATATAACTCAATATCGCAAAAAATGTCGCTTAGACCAATTAGCCTTTCAAGCGTCGATATATTCTATCTTATATCATTCCCCAGGGTTCAATCTATCTCCATTCCAAAATATCTAAATTTGGTTCAATAGTATTCTTACTGTACATGGTAAACATTAAAAATAAACAGAAATACACTATTCACATTGTGTCAATAGTCTCAAAGTAAAATTGTTGTAACTCACAGACACATAGAGATAACTAAATCACAGATAGAACCCTAAAAATGTCTTGAAATCCTTTACAAGCATAAATTTCAATAAATCAAGTTACCTTATGATATTTTGGCAAACATGCCCGCAGCAACAGTGTGGCTCAGCAATTGAACAGCTAGTTTTACTCTCATTTTTTGTTTCGTATTCGGATTTAAATGTTCCTGTCTAAGACAGGGTGCAAACACGAAGTTTGGATTTGAGTTGTCAGATTCATAAAATTTTACAATATGACTCCATTTGGCTACACCTGAAACAATATAAAATTATCATGACCAGTTGTTTACATTGTTACATTGAATAAGTTTTTCTTGAACCAAGGACTGCCAAGTTATACAAAAATTGTAATGTTTACCTGTTCCCTGGATTCCACCAACTGAAGTTATATTTGTAGGGCATTGTATGTCATATTTTAGAAACAAGTTTCTAAAGCACTTTATTAAGTGTGGTGGATCAAATAGTGCAAATATTTTTTATTATTTATTTTAAAATATGGACAGGTAGCAGTTGCCCCTAAACTGCATAAAGCCCTTCTATTAACTCCAACCATGTCACACACACTGGCCGCTATATTAATGCCATGTTCATGACATTGTTCAAGCACCTGAAAATGAAACATATTTTGAACTTCATATCATTTCCATATTGCAAGCACCATGCATAAATAGTATATTATTAAGATTATATTAATTACCTCTTTTATTAAGACTGCTAATCTATCTGCAGTGACTGAGGAACCTGATAAATAATAAGCCATGGGTTGCTTAATTTTTTTTCGAATCCCAGCAATCATAAATACGAGTGCATTAGACACCACTTGTGCAGTTCTACTTTGTCCACCATGGTCTTGATACCCTTCTAAAAAGATAGCATTTTTATTATTATATTGCAAATGTTTTTTTAAAGCTATTTCATCAAACATTAATACATATTCATTATTAACAGCTTCTTGAGTTGAACAAAACTTCCCAACAATTTCAAACATCTGTTTGTTGATGCCAACATTAAGTTTACATTTTCCCAACAAAACTTTTAAATTTGTTGGAGCTGGAAGAGTAAACATTCGCCTTAGTAGCCTGTAGCAAGTGGGAGACCTTTTATACAGTCTTAAAGCAGTAATTTTATCTTCTTCTGTCCATCTACGTCCCTTAGCACTCTTTTTAAAATTTCTAATTTGTGCTTGCAATAATAAAGCAAAATTTGGGCTTATTTTATCTGTAAGTTTTTTCACGGCATCACTGGTGCTTAATTTTTTCAGATATTTCGAGTTTTTCAAGTGCTTCAATTGCTTTTTCATAAGGCAAACTTTATGCAAGTACTTCTTGCATTTTATAAAAATTTTATTTTCCACTGGATTTATGTTATTGACTCCAGAGGGTCCTAGGAGGTCACCTGTTGTGAGATATCTATTAGATATGTCCACAAGAGGCTGTGATGGTCCAACTACGGGTTCTCTAATATTATCATCTCGTAGAAATGACATAGTTATTTCCTGCATAGAAAGCATTAGCATTAGTTATGTTTAAATTTTTGAAGTTTTAAAGTAACATCATCTTTCTTCCTCTATCCCAATTTATTTGAGGTTGGTTGGCATGTAGTCTATCACCTCTCAGCCTTCATGTCACTTCTTCCCTATCTTTATCATCTTTCACAAAACTTATCACAATAATTATAAGTACATTATCAACATTATTATATCTATTATTATGTTTTAGTTTCAAAATTTATAAATTTATTTATATATTTATGAGGTGCTAGCACACATTGTTACTAAAGTAGAATAAGCTGGGCAAAGTGCTAAAGAAAAGTGCAATTACAGGCAGCACCCAGTATTAACATTAAGCTTTCAATTACTCATATTAGTATAACTAATATAGTATTTTTAAGCATTGCGTAAGAGCTCTGCTTCTGTCAGGTATCCTTACTACATTTTATTTTAAATTTGGTTCTGGTCGTTTAGCTTACCTTCACATCTGGTGAAGCAAACCGTCTCAACTTTTTGGATGGAAAGTCCACAAATGCTGTTTCATTAAAATGCCTATGACATAGCATTCTGTGTTCTGTGTATAACTTCATCTGAAAATCTTTGTTTGACCATGGTTTGTCCGGACAGAAATATTTTGCCCACAATTCACAACTGAAATAAAGCAATGAATAGATGAATAAGTACCTATGCAAAAGAACAGAACACCAAACGAATCACAACTCTTTATCTTGTTTATTATGCCCATAAACATCAAGATAAACAACAGTTTTAGACACGATGAAGCATGCATTCATCTATATATTATGCAGTATTAGAGCAATTACCGGAGGATATTTGTGGAACCAGGTTTTGGAAACCTAAATAATCTCGTTTCGGGGTCATCGACAGGCGATAAATCACACTTAAAACATTTTCTTTTATTCTCCTTCATGTTTAATAAAAAACACGAATTTACTATCCCGAACACAACACAAGCGTTTCGGAACACAACAAACGGAGGAACCTAGGCTCTACTCAACGTCGATAATGATAAGAAAACACTTGGTTATAAAAAGAGACAATTTACAAGAAATAACATGCACGCAAACCAGCAGACATTTTTCTTGTAAAATGTTTATCTATATCTAGGGAGCTGTTTACTGAAATGAGGTTGCCATACTTAAAAACGCAATTATTAGAGACCGAAATTTTAGGTCTCACCGAATAGACGAGAAAATGGCAACATAGTTCTAGCCCCCGTAGGCATTCCAATGTTTCCCTAATGAGACGACCCCGCCTGCTCCTGTAGTTCCAGGTCGTGCAGGCATTCGTTCTGGCCAGTGACCTTGCATTACACTCCCATCATTTTCGGGTATATTAAGCGCCTTATTCACCATCCATCCCAGCTGTACGTCCGCTCAAGGCCGCGGCGCTAGATGTAACATACACTCGTGCGCGCATCCAGCATGCTAGATGTAATCGATCGATTATTCGAGGAGGTTGTGCGTGTTTACAATGCCGCATAATTTATCAAAGCGCCAAAAAATGGGAGTTCTTCTCATATTGTCAGCAGCAGCAGAAGAGAAGAAAAAAAATAAGAGGTTCTGGATGAAAAAAATTTACCATAAGCGTGCGGAGTATACTCAAATTAATAATATAATGAATGATTTGAACGTCATAGATTTTCATACTTATCTTAGAATGGATAGTGAAATATTGGAAATGCTGTTAGGAATGGTTGGACCCGAAATTCAACGTCGTGATACTATTATGAGAGAGAGTGTCCCAGCAAAAGAACGTTTACTTGTAACCCTGCGATACCTTGCAACGGGAGAAAGCTATCCTGAACTTATGGTTTCGTATGCAGTTTCACCACAGCTAATGAGTAAAATTATTCCTGAAACTTGTTTAGCTATTTATAAAGATTTAAAAGATGAGTATCTCAAGGTAAGTCAATGAAACAACTTTTTATATATTTATTTATTAAAAAGAAAACAATCACAGTCATTCCAACCACTAATTATAATTTGCAAGCAGAAATTGCTTACCATTAGAAAACAAATGAAGTAAGTACCTAAATCATACAGTGAACAAATGAATATGAGACTCATATTCATTTGTTCATACTCATATTCAATAACATATTCATTTCTTTCTAAAAACCAGAAATTTGTTTAGCTGTTCTGTGTGTACTGGAGTAGAATTTTCAGTTTCATTATCAAGAATTATTGGAATTGAAGAAAATTGCGTGTTTGGTAATTCTTGTGATGTATCTTGATACTGGGTCAAAGAATTCGCCGAAAGGACCGTCTGAGAAGATGGTATATGAGACAATTGAGTTTCAATGCAACCTTTTGATGTAGAAGAATATTGGATCGGTGTGGAAAAGTATGTTAAGTTTTGAGAAGCCGGTCGTTTGATAATTGTGATCGGAGATGAAGTTTGAATGTTTGGGGATGAAGGCAAGTCTTCACTGTATGGCGAGTTATGGCAAATAGGTGAAGCAGAATGTGCTGAATTTTGAGAAATCGGTCGCTGGATGTTTGGAGGTGAACGCACATTTTCTGCGTATGGTGAAGGTGAGTTGACAAATTGAATAGGTGATGAAGAGTATTCATTTAATGTTGTGGTTGTTTGAGAGGATGGACGCGTGAAGATACGTGAAGTAGCATTTAATTGGTTTGTTCTTGCCAAAAACAAAACATCTGACATTAGTTTTTCTGCATAAATTTTCTGATCGTGTGACAGGTTTTGGAGTTGATTATTTAGATATAATACAAATGTCATGTCCCGACCCGGAGCATTTTTAGGGTTGTCTTCGGTCAATAACTTTTTGGCAACATTTACTAACTCTTCTTGAACTTTCGTGCTTGCTCTTTTTCTTCTGCTTATACCTTCACTAGGTGTTGCCCTCTCCTAAAAACAAAAATTAGTGTATGTTACAGTCACATGAAATAAAAAATTCTGTAAATCCTCTTCGGATATAACGTAACGGTATTTATTTATTTCTTAATATTTGTTTCAGTTCCCATCATCTGCTGAGGAGTGGAAGCAAATTGCAGAAGAGTTCCAGAATAAATGGCAATTCCCAAACTGCGTAGGAGCAATGGACGGGAAGCATATTCGTATAACAAAACCCTATTCCAGTGGTTCTCTTTACTATAATTACAAGAAATATTTCAGTGTCGTACTTTTTGCTGTAGTTAATGCTAAATATGAATTTATTTACGTCCATGCTGGAATTAATGGTCGAGCAGCTGATTCTGGTGTTTTGAAAAAAACTAAATTTTACGAAAAACTAATAAATGAAAGCCTTAATTTGCCCGATCAAAGTATTTTGCCACAATCCCAAGTTACAGCTCCATACCTTTTTATTGGTGACTCTGGATTTCCGTTATTGCATAATCTCCTCGTACCGTATCCTTACAAAGATAATGATTATTCAAAAAAAAATTACAACTACAGATTATCTCGAGCAAGACGTGTGTCTGAAAACGCCTTTGGTATTTTAGCGACACGTTTCAGATTGTTCTACAGTCCTATAACACTTTAAGTGGATTATTTAGATTATGTTATATTAGCATGTTGTGCGTTACATAATTTTTTGTCAAAAATGTGTAGAGAATCTGATATACCAAATTCACTGTTTGACCGAGAAGACACAATGCAAGGAATTGTGATACCAGGGGATTATCTTCAATACTACAATTTTTTGGACATTGAAGAAAAACTTAGTTTTTCTAATGAAGAAGGACAAGTGATTAGGGAGGGATTCAGAAGATATTTTTCTCATGAAGGAAGAGTTGATTTCCAAGATCGAATGATTGTTTAATAAATAATTTTACCTAAGTATATAATGTGTTTAATATTTAATACCTAACCTATCTTCTTCGATCAAATATAAAAACTAGATAGGTACGTCCGTAGAAACACTTTGACCTTAAGAGCGCTCTTATTCCCTAGCAGTAGCGGCGATATTTGCAGTGCAAGTGTTTCCGCTGACCTGCGGCCGACTGTAACTATCACCCGAACGAATAATTATGAAATACAATGGTATGTATGGATTTATGTATCTAGTTGGATCGTAGCCTATCTTATTAAAAAACACAGTTAAAAACTTACCGGGTCGGCAAGGCCATCGATCCCAGGTCTAGATGCTTCTTGTGATGATAAAAAAGACATCAAATCATAGTACCACAGTGTTGGCGTATAGACATTATCTGCGGAAATGCCCGTAGACAAGCTGGCATTAACTTTCTTATGTTCTCTGTGATAACCGTTTCGAACGCTATCAATCGTTGCACTTTCCCCTAAAATGGGCACCATATCTTGCAATGCATTAATACTTTTATTCTTATTCATATAATCAGGACTTGAGACGTCCCACAGACAAGAGTGGGATTTATATCTTTCGATAAAACTTGTTATCGTTTCGCGATCCATTTCGACACGTGCGGTCACTATGGCGATGCAAGCTCAAAATGGCGAATCGGCTATACAGCAAGTCTATACACGATCAAGCACGCACGACGCTCTGACGGACGTCCGCATTATTCACTGTCCATCTGCACGACGTTCGCGGTGGTGGGGGCGCTCGCTGGATGCGAAATTGGTCGTGCAAGTCCAGCAAGCAATTAATAATAATTATTGACGTACGTCAAGCATATTCACAGTCGTTTTGCTTCGTGCATCGTGTATGACCTTGGCGGAACGTACGTCGAGATGGATGGTGAATAAGGCGCTTTAGTAGTGCATGTCGTCGTGGGTCGGAATCGCCTGTTATCATGAATACTGGATGTCTTTATCAAGTCGCTTCCCTTCAAATTTTTGTCCAGCCCAATCAATTCCTGTATCAGTTCTTCTCGGTAGTTTATGTACGAGTACAAGCTTAAATTATTTTTTTTTATATTTTCTATAAAGAAAAAAGGCGTTCCACACTGCAATGTCCATCATGTGAAATATTACTCTCTTGTACCATCTGATGGTTTTTCGGGGACAAGAATAGTAAGATACCATCTGATCACAACGATCAATGCCAGACATGTTTCTGTTATATGTATCAACTTCGGCAGGCTTTAAACGGGACTTGCCAAATCTGTTTGAAACTTCTATAATCGAGGGATGAACTTTAGTGGTAACCATCAGGACAGGGCGTTTATTTTTCCAATTGGAAACATACACCTTGTTTTTGCGAGCCCATACATGCTCGCCTTTTTTCAATTTTTTTGTCGTAATAAATTTAGGATTATCTTTACGACTCTTACGTAAGGTGCCGGTGCTATGAGTGTTCAAATCAAGCAATTTCTGTGACAACTTTACAGAGTTATAATAGTTGTCCATGAACAAGTGATGACCACGAAGCAAATATGGCCGCATCAACCTTAACACTAGTTTTTCTGTCTTAGATTCATCCTCATCCATATTCTGATTTGTTGTTTCCTTACCAGAGTACATCAATATATTGAGTACATAGCCATCAAACGTAGTAAGTTCATAGAACTTAATTCCGTATCGGGCTTTTTTTGACTTTATATATTGTCGAAAATGTAGCCGACCCCGAAATAGAAGTAGCGACTCATCTAATGACAAATTCTCGCGTGCACTATATATTTTTCTGAAGTTAATAGTCAACATATCTATGAATTTTATAATCTTCTGTTGTCCTTTAGCCTCCAATTCCGATGCATATACACAGCGTAATAATTGTTCATACCGTCGCCCTGACATAGTGTAGGTAAATATCGGATGATAATACATTGCTTTGGTTAAAGTAAAAAGGTTCCTTTGTTTAGGACATTTTATATGACCTTTCAGAAGGCTAAGTCCTAGAAATTGCAGCATTTCTTCATAATTGGTTTCACGAAAGACAGCTTTGCGGCTATATCTTGTATGTGGTTTGTTAGTTTGGCACAAAGATTTACCATAATTATTAGTACATATTACCAGATATTCAACGAAATTCCGTGGAAAAACTAGATGAAAAAAAGTCCATAACATTTTCTATGTTATCAATGTTTACTTGAATACCAGAAGCAGCGTTATCAAAATTAAAATCAGGTATATCAGTCACCGTGTCAGACCAACCTTCTTCTACTGAAGGTATCTCAGCAGATGTCCTGGGAGCATGACTGATTGGGCTAGTAGGCTGATCAGAAATATCTGGTGAATTGGGGCGATCATCTTGATTTACAAGGCGATCGTTTGACGATAAAGGAATGCCAGATGACGTCGCCTCCGAAACATGAAGGTTTTGGGTAACTGAAATATTCTCATTCCGTCGTTCGTCCTCGGAAGGGCAAAATGTTTTATCACTATCATCCGAATCACTAGACGAAGAAGACTCACCAGATGAGTTACTAGCGTGTTTTTGTGGGCGGCGTCCAGCAGCATCGTCAGAACTCTTCTCTAAGTCATCGCTTCCCTCTATGACGTCCCACAATCCTTCAAGTATTAAAATATTCTTGATGGAAAATTTCCAAGTATGAAAATTGGATGAACCTTCCAATTTTTCAAAGTTCGCCATGTACTGATGATGTCGCGTGACTCGAAATCAATGGCGATGAATCCATTTTAATAAGAGTGACGCACTTAAGTTATTTAGCCTTCCGAACACAGAATGTTTTGTATTGATGTGATCTTAATTTTCTTGAATGTATTTTGACGAAAAAACGGTTTATTCTTGATAGATTAGCTCACTTCAATATTGCTTAATTATTATGCTCAAAATGGCTTCTTGATATGCTGGGCCCATAACCTATTGATATTTTCAAGAGTTCGCTGTGAGCGTAATTTATTATCAAGTAGTGAGCATAAAAATAAGAACACTTTCACTAGATATTTAACTTATTTATTGATATTGAATTTTAGATAATTTACATCAATAGTTACAGTGTTAACGGTACGGCTCCATGACAAGGAAAAGGAAAACAAGTCATAGACAATAGAACAATCATAGTTGAAACTAGATATAGCACAGAGTATAAAATGATTATAATATTATGGGGGATACACACATTCTAACACTTTTTATCCCCACTCTACTATTATTTCATATACGCAAGTCCACGCAGTCATCTGCGTGACGTTAAAAAAAAAAGTATACGGCGCATTCAAGAGACGATCAAGTTCAGACTTGTCACTACGTTACTCGTTGTTTCGTACATTTAACCTACTCAAAACTAATTGTTATCATTTATTAATAGAAGTTATTGTCTTATTGCGAATAACGATATCAGGTAAGTGTAAAAACTGTAATGTTTTTCTTCGTAAGATACCTGGATATAAAAAAGTTATTAAAACTGAAGAAGAAGCTGAAATGTTCAGTGACTGTTTTAATAAGTCAATAGTAATTGACAATATACTTTGTAATAAATGTCGGCTTCTTATATATCCTGAAAAAAAATTTCGAATTTACGATCTACAAAGTCTGATGATATATCGGTAAATATGGAAGTAACTGATCCGCAACAATTGAATACAAATGTAGAAGAAGAAGCTCATGACGTTAATAATACATAACTCTGAAGATTCTGATAAAAGTCATGACAACGATGTTATATATAAGTGCAATCAGAGAGATGATTATTTAGAAATACCATTTCAACGTATTGTATCTACTCATAAATATTGCATTATATGTTGCAAGACAACTGATCTTAAGATAATATCTTTAGCAATACGAATAAATATTTTTATTAAAAAATGAATATTCATACCAAATGGTGATCATTGTTGTTCGACGCACTTACTGGGAAATATTTTTTACGAAGATGAATTATTGAATTTACAGGTTGTTTCTCACACCAGTAAAATTAAAAAAACAGAATTAATACTATTTTTTAACGCACTGGCAGATAGGTCACAATTATCAATCTTTGAAAGAATGAATGAATTTAATATGTCCGAAAATCAAATAAACGCTTTAACTGGACTATCTTGGGAAAATATAATAAATCTTAGATGGTTACTTAAATCAATGCGAGGTACAAGTACTCGTTCTGTTACACAAGCTTTAATTGTTTTTTTATTCAAGCTTAAGACCGTGTTATGAGTACACATAATGACCAGTGAATTCATTTCAATTTATTAAGTTATGATAGCTCAGCGGGTTCGGCTACAGTTTAAATGTTACGTACTATGCGACACGAGTTCAAATCCCACGCGCGGTTTACTTTTCTTGATTTTGTTAATTTTTAGCTATCGTATCGGTAAGTGTCTTTTTACTAAAGGAATAACATGAGGTGAAGCATTGCGGTACAAGGATCGAGCCGTGATGAACGTGTGCTCGGCGTCTACATCCTTAAGATTAAGTTTATGCAATTTGTGATCGTTTTGAAGACTGTAGTAAGACATATTTATTTCGTTAAATTAAGTCAATGCCGTAACGAAATACGAAGTATATAAGTAAAATACTGTAATGTATTTCCAACAACGCTTATTTTCAAAATGTGCTTACATAGATGAACCATAAACAATAATGCTAATACAGACCATAGACTACTTAACATTTAAGTATATTATACACAACACTCTCCCACTATGAATTCTACACTAAATTTTACATTCTTTTTCTTCAGTACTATCTATAAATTAAGCCTGTCTGGTTTCTTTCTAATTCTAACAGATCTCTTTAAAACAAGTGGTGAAGATTCCGTCTTTTGTGGAGAACTAACTATTTCCTTTAACTGAGACCCATTTGACACATTTTTCTCAACAGAAGGCAAAATCTCACTTTTCCGTACAACAGAATTACTACACACAGTATTAGGTGACTTTATAATTACACTTGAACTTGTCTCATTACATACACTTGGATATTCTTTATCTTTAAACACTAACTCGGTATCAAAAGTATCATCATCTAAATTACTGTTTATTTGATTATCCAAAATCTGATTAATATGTCTTTTCCAAATAATATTTGTATTTAACAATTTAATTAAATATGTAACTGGACCAAGTTTTTTACATACTATTCCTTCCATCCACTTATTACTATTACTTCTATAATCTCTAGCTAATACACTTTTCCCTATTTCTAACTCTCTTACTCTGCTACCCCCTGCATATTTCTTTTGTAATTCCTGCTTATACTGAACATGTTTTTTTACATTAGGTCTTAATAAATCAAATTTTGTCTTTAAGTTTCGCTTAAACATCAAGTATGCTGGGCTTTCTCCCGTAGTCATATGCTTACAATTTCTATATGTTAACAAAAATGAATTAATACAATCATTTACATTTTTCTTTTCATAAAATGCTTTTTTAATACATTTTTTTAATTATCTTAACAGCACTCTCTGCTAAACCATTTGTTTGAGGATTATAAGGTGGTGAAAATGATTGTTTAATTCCCAAATTTTTAAGAAATGATGTAAATTCCATGAAATGGAATGGAGGTCCATTGTCACTGTATATTAAGTCTGGAAAACGAAAAGTAGTAAATAGTCTTTTTAAAATTTTAATAACTTGACTTGCTGAGGTTGAACTAACTTCCTCCACTTCAATCCACTTTGTATAAGCACACTCTAATACAAAATAATACTTTCCATGTATAGGACCTAAGTAATCTACATGTAATCGTAACCATAGTGTTGGCAAGTAAGAACGCAAACAAATTATAATTAAGTTGGCAACATTCATGACCTGTCAATGTAAACTGTATATAAATCGCGTCATGTAAGCATAAAATCCTCTTTTCATCATTTGTGCCGTGTACAGTTTGTAACTATTATATACTCTTTGGTCGTGCTACTGCTAATAATATATATTTGTTATATTCAATCAGTCATTTTTATTTATTTCCACATAAAATATCAACATGGTAGCAGAGCGTGGTTGATTGCTACTAATTGTGGAAATAAAAGAAGAAAAAGTAACGCAGTTAGCAGTAAAACTAAGAATACCGGCCGGCGTGTTGTCCGCCATTTTGTGGTTATCCGGCGTGGCGTACCGCGTGCTCAGTCACAAACCGTAAAAATCTTAAATACGCATAGAAGATGTCGAATTCAGGTTACAATTCATTAGAATCTTCTCGAAGCGTAGATAATTATGTGAATAAAATCATGTCGACTGCTCACAAACTCAGGAATATCAAGTTTGATGTAAATGATGAATGGCTCGGTACACTGATGTCAGCTGTAATGTATGTTAGCCTCCCTGAAGCATATAAACCCATGATAATGGGACTGGAGAGCTCTGGCATCAAGATAAGTGCAGATTCTATTAAATCTAAACTCCTGCAGGAAGTTCAATGCTCAGATAACTCAGCATTCTTCACAAGGAAAAAGGTCATTCAAAGAAATCAACATGATTCAACAAAGGTTCACAAAGGACTCCGATGTTATAATTGTAACAAGCATGGACACTTTGCAAGGAATTGTCATGCTCCGAAAAGGAAGAATGTAGAAAATATAGAAAGTAATAAAAGTTTTGTTGCAGCTTTTTCAGCATTTCATACAATGAATCCGGACCTGTGGTATGTGGACTCAGGTGCCTCCATGCATATGACAAATAGATGTCACTGGATGTATGATGTCACAAGTCCACCGATACCCACCATAACTGTAGCCAGTAAGACACCGCTACCTGTGGAAAGTATGGGAAAGGTCAATTTATTGCTAAATGGTAATGAAGAAAGTAAAACTCAGGTAAGACAAGTTTTATACATACTTAAACTAGCTGCAAGCCTCCTGTCAGTCAGCGCTATGGTGAAAAATGGCTGTAATGTAAATTTTAGAGATAGAGGTTGTGATATCTATGATAAAAATGGCAAGCTCCTATGTTCAGCTACACAAGTTAATAATTTATATTTATTAAACACACACAGAGAGATATTTTCTAACCTGTCTTGTTCAGATAATTTAAATGATTTTGTCCTATGGCACAGACGCATGGGACACCTGAATTTTTCAGATGTTAACAAGCTGCCAGAGTGTGCTGAGGGAGTACAGCCGTTCACAAACAAAAATAAAGGTTCTATTACCTGTACTACCTGCCTCTCTGGGAAACAGACCAGATTGCCCTTTAACAACATCGGTTCAAGATCTTCACACCCACTGCAACTGGTCCACACTGATTTATGTGGACCAATGGAGCAAGAATCTTTAGGAGGTATGAAATATTTTATTACTTTCATAGACGATTACACGAGACGAGTACATGTCTATTTTTTGAAAAATAAATTAAATATTCTAGAAGTTTTCAAAGATTACAAAAACAAAGTAGAGAATGAACATGAAAGAAAAATAAAAATAATTCGTTCTGATAATGGAAAAGAATACTGTAATAGAGAATTTGAAAACTTCTTGAACAAATATGGAATTGAACATCAAACAAGTGCTCCGTACTCACCCCAGCAGAATGGTCTTGCTGAACGAATGAACAGGACACTGGTGGAAAGAGCAAAATGTATGTTGTTTGATGCTCAGCTTGCAAAACAGTTCTGGGCAGAGGCCCTTGCAACTGCAGCATATGTAATTAACAGATCACCTACAAAATCAATTGATGGTAAAACTCCTATGGAGATGTGGACTGGTAAGAAACCCAACTTGTCTAATTTAAAAATATTTGGCTGTGAAGTAATGACACAAGTCCCAAAAGAAAAACGCCAAAAATGGGATTTCAAATCCAGAAAGTTATTGTTTGTTGGTTATTGTGAATCTACCAAAGGATATCGAATACTTGATCCAGATACTAATAAAATCATAAAAAGTAGAGACATTGTATTTTTAGAAAACGTGAAAAAATATGATAATAATATATACTTACCTTGTACATCCAACAGCAGCAGTCCAGAGATACAGCCACTCGAAGAAACCTGTAAAGAAAAATTAGAGCACGGCACAAATGATGAAAGAGAGCACGGCACAAACCATTCTACTGGTGAGTCAAGCGAGGACTACCAGTCTGATGATAATGACAATACATCCTACATACCGGAACAATCGATGGATCTCGAGTCACCATTAAGAAACATAAATTTACGTCCACGGAGACCTATTAAGTATGCAGAAACAGATGACCATGATGTAAGTTACTTCTGTCCGATACTTAATTTAAATGATCCACAGACAACTGACGACGCATTATCGTCACCTTATGCTGACCAATGGAAAAGGGCTATGCAAGAGGAGTATGACTCTCTGATTAAAAACAAAACTTGGTCACTGGTTGATGCACCATCTGGGAAAAGAGTCTTACCATGTAAATGGGTCTATAAAACTAAAACAAATGACAAAGGTGAGATTATCCGTTTTAAAGCAAGACTGGTTATCAAAGGGTATGCTCAGAGGAAAGGAAGCGAATATGATGAGACATATGCTCCTGTTGTAAGGTATACATCTGTTCGATACTTGCTTTCGTATGATTAGTATGATTTAGAAATTTTTCAGATGGATGCTATAAGTGCTTTTCTTCAGGGTGACATAGATACCGAGATATACATGTCACAACCAGAATACTACAAAAAAAAATGATCAAGTATGTATTTTACATAAATCAATTTATGGACTCAAACAAGCTAGCCGGCAGTGGAATCTTAAATTAAATAATATTTTATTAAAAATTGGCTTACAAAGATCACATGTAGATCCCTGTATTTATTATTTAGTTAATAAGTCTATAACTATATTCATTGCAGTGTGGGTGGATGATCTTTTAATATTCACAAATAATGAGGATAAAACAACAGAGATTAAAAACAAGTTAAAAGGAGAATGCAGTATGAAAGACCTAGGTGAAATGAAGAACTGTATCGGCATAAATATAAGCAGGAACCGAGAGGCAGGTATGATTATGTTAGATCAAGAAAAATACATTAACCTAGTATTAGACCGCTTTAATATGTCTGAATGCAAACCAGTTCGTACCCCGATACAGGTGAATGCAAAATTTGAGAAAAATCCCAAAGATGGAAACAAAAATATCCCATACAGGGAAGCAGTGGGATGTCTGTTATATCTGGCACATGTCACGAGACCTGATATTACATACGCAGTTAACAAGTTGAGTCAGTACTGTAATAATCCAGGAAATCAACACTGGCTTGGAATAAAAAGGATCATGAGGTATCTTCAAGGAACCAGGAACCTGAAGCTATGCTATGTCAAAGATGATTCAAAGGAAATAACTGGATATTGTGATGCTGACTGGGCGAGTGACCCAGTGGATAGACGATCATGTACGGGTTATATTTTTCTGTTTCAGAATGCTTGTTTATCTTGGAATTCGTGTAAACAGCAAACCGTGGCACTCTCTACGGCGGAGGCCGAATACGTGGCGATGTCAGCGGCGTCCCAGGAGGCCCTGTGGCTGCGGCAACTGCAGGACGAGCTCGGGCAAGGCGTGGACAGCGCGCTACTCATCCATTGTGACAATCAAAGTGCAATAAGACTGGCATCAACAGACTGTTATAAATCTAAAACTAAACATATAGATATTCGTTTACATTTTCTTAGAGATAACATTGTTAATTCTAAAGTTAAATTTAAATTTGTAAATGGTTGCAATATGGTAGCTGATAACTTAACTAAAGGTACGACTTTTGAAAAACATTTGTTCTGTATAAGTAAAATGGGTTTGCGTTCTGTGGGGAGTGTTGGCAAGTAAGAACGCAAACAAATTATAATTAAGTTGGCAACATTCATGACCTGTCAATGTAAACTGTATATAAATCGCGTCATGTAAGCATAAAATCCTCTTTTCATCATTTGTGCCGTGTACAGTTTGTAACTATTATATACTCTTTGGTCGTGCTACTGCTAATAATATATATTTGTTATATTCAATCAGTCATTTTTATTTATTTCCACATAAAATATCAACACATAGTTCCACACATGTAATTTCACTTTATGTGGATTAGGCCTTTCCAATATACAAGTAGTACAACTATTTGCCATTAACTGTACATCATTATCAATAGAAGGCCACCAGAAATAACTCCTGGCTATTGATTTCATTTTAACAATACCTAAATGTGTCGAGTGAAGCTCTTGTAAAATAGTTGCAATTAACTTGTTAGGTATTACAACTCTATATCCATACATAATGATTCCATGCTCCACTGACAATTGCCCTCTCTTAATAAAGTAAGGTTTTAAGTTAATATCACTAATATAATTTGGCCACCCTTGTTCTATATAGTTTAACACAAGTTTTAGCACTGGATCTAATAAAGTTTCTTTCTTAATTAAATTATAATCAATAGGTAAGCTTACATTATCTTTCAAAAAATTTAAATATGAATATTCTGATACATTTTTACTTTCAATTCTTTCTAATGGTAACCTAGATAATGCATCTGCATTATTATGCTCTGATTTCACATAAATAATATTATAATTGTAACCCGACAATAACAATGCATATCGCTGAAGTCTACTAGCTGCTATGGTAGGTATGCCTTTCTTAGGACCAAAGA